CCAGCAGCGAGTGGCGCGCCAAAGAGCGGCGATGGGCGCAGGCGACCTCTCCAACCCCACGCGGAGACCCGTCGGGCAACGCCGGAGCCGGCCTCGGCAACGACGACTTCTCGATGTTCGGCTTCGGCGGATCGATGAACGACATCTTCGACTTCGATCTGTCCACCGACGGTACGGGCGGCGGCTCGGCGGGGCTTGGGGGTGACGCCTGGGACAGCAACTTTGGCAGCCTGTTTTCGGGCACCGACGGCATGAACGGGAGCTAGATCCGATCGCTCGTCGTCGTCGCCGCCGCCGCAGCTGCTACGCTGGCAGTCGATGCGGAAGACGCATCAGGGCTGCGAACGGAGCGCTCGGCGATCGGCGCTCCGCCTCACCTGCCTTGCGGGACACCGCAAACCCGCCGCAGCGGTCCGGGGGAAAGGCCCTCCTTGAATCAGAGTCATGAGGCCCACCCTGGGTCCGCCGCCCTATACCACAGGCTCGTGAGATTGCAACTCACTCGCTCCACCCTTTTACCTCGCTCGATCCTCGATCCGCGATCTCGATAACCGCTCCCCCCCTCTCGTCACCCCCAACTCTTCCCGCCTCGTTCCGCCTGGCCTAGAAACGTGGCTTCCCTGTCATCTCGCCGCCACCGACGCCGCGGACGAAGGCGGTTGTCCGATGCCCTTGTGTGCATCCGTCGCCCCCTCTCGGTCTGGTACAATTATATCTGCTTCCTCACCTCGCTTGTCTCGAGACTGTCGTCTTGCCTGTGTCGCGATCTAGGAGGCAGGTAGCGTCGGGCAGGCTGCATGGATCTGCTCACCGTGCGGCGTGCAATGTGCGGCGTGCGGACGGCGACCAACTTTCGGCAGGCACGTGCAACAGGGAAGGTCACGTGGGCCGGACCAGGATGCTGGCCGGAAGAAAAATGGGGCCGTCGCCCGCTGCACGCCTGACCTTTCCATCACCATCACCATCTTCACCCCGCCTCACCTACGGAAGTCTCGCTTCTTGCACGGCTCAGGACTCGCCACTACGAACACTACCTTCGGCTCTCTCCCATCGCATCCTTAATCTTGCGACTGCTTTCCCGGAGCGACACTGCGAGCTTGCCACAACGACCCGCCGAACTGCCCTGCCCTGCCCTGTCCTCCACTCGATCCCGACCTCCCTCATCTAGACTGCCGCCATGTATATGCTCGGCGTTCACCTTCCAGACCACAAGCTGGTCCGGGTGAGTAACGGAGCGCGGCTGCCTCCTCGTCGGGATCGTACAGGCTCGTGGACAGCTCCACTAACACGCTAGTCGCTGCTTGCCGGCCTCGTGTCCACGGACCCGACCCGATCTCTCCTTCTTTGCGCTGTGCCTGCCGACCGACCCTCGCAGATCGCCCTGACGAGCTTCTATGGCATCTCGTATGACACGGCGCGACGGATCTGCGCGCGTCTGCAACTGCACGAGCGGGCGCCAGTGTCTTCTTTGACCGAGGCGCAAATCACCCAGCTCTCGGCCTACCTCTCTTCGCCCGGCACCATCCCGGCGCGCAAGGACTTCCCTACGTCACCGACCCCGGTCAGTCCTTCCTCGTCGTCATCCTCGTCATCCGCGTCGTCGGGGAATGCAGAAGAATCGACCGGTCCCGCTGTGCCCGACCAGGAGCTGCCCCCGTCGCGGAGGGCATCGCCCGCGACGGATCCGCTGCGGAGCATCGTCATCGAGGCCGACCTGAGGCGGCAGCTGCAGGCCAACATCGCCCACCACCGTACCGTCGGAAGCTACAAGGGACGGCGACACGCGGCGCACCTTCCCGTGCGCGGCCAGCGGACCAGCACCAATGCCAACACGGCCAAGAAGCTCAACCGCGTCGAGAGGAGGGCGTTCACGTCTTCTGCGCCAGCGGGACCGCAGTCAAAGACGAAGAGGTGAGTGCGCTGCCGACGAAGAGGGCTCGATGCTGGTGCCGGGCAGCCAGGCCGACTGACGCACGGCTGTCGTTTGCTCGCGATGTTGCAACATCCAACAGCTCGGACCTGATGGAGCTGCTCAAGCCGTTGGTCAAGCTGCGCTTCCACGGCTCGCCATGAGGGTGCCAAGGAGGTGCTCGAGCGCTCTTGTGCGCATGGCGTTGTCGCTGTTGCTCAGGCTCTTCGCAATTGAGATTTCCACGGTACTGTTCCTGGCTTGTTCGATGTCCCGGCGGCATGTGGTGCGCTTTTTCTGGAGCGGCTGGCCACTGATGCCCTTGTGTGGCGCATACTGGCGTTTGGCGACTCTGTCGAAACGTGTGTGAGCGATCCCACCGGCGCAGGGGAGGCCGCGTGATTGCGTGCGTGCACGCGACCCGTAGCTTGATGAGGGCCAGAGTTGTGAAGGCGCGCGGGAGCGGGGTGGCGAAGGGCTGGCTGACATCTGGGCTCGTGTCTCGGCCGAGTGGGCCCTGATCGATGCGCGCCGAGGCCGAGGGCGAGCACCCGCGCGTGTTGGTCGCCCGGCAGGCCTGGCCTGGCCACGCCCGGCCAGCTAGGGCAGCTGCGCCTGCCCGCCTGCCTCTGGGAAGAAAGCCAAGGAAGCCGGGCAGACTACTCTGCCGCTTTGACTTTTTCTGCCCGTGGGCCTGTGGGCCGCGCGCGAAGGCCTGCCATCGAGCCAAGCCCAAGCCAGCCAGAGCGAGAAGAGGCAGAGGCAGCCAGCCAGCCAGCCAGTCCGCCAGCCAGCCGCCAAACCAACACCCGCCCGCTGCTGCGCACGCACTCGGCCTGTCGTGCTCGCCTTCCTTCCTGCTCTCCACCTGCCCGCCACCTCTGCTCACCCTCTTGACATCTCGCCCCTGACGACTGCTCTGGACTTCCATTTGCACTTCACGCCGGACAGATTCGACAGCGCTCATCCCTCCTGCCAGCTTTCTGCTTGACCGCCAGTCGACCGACTCACCGACCGACCGACTGCGCACCCGGCCGCCGCTCGTCACCACCCGCGCTGCACACAGCCTAGTCAGACAGCATGGCGCAGCTCTTCCAAAAGGACCCGCGCAATGCCGGTCTCTTCATCGGCGGCGACCGCCTCACGGGCGCAGAGATCCGCAACCAGAATGTCCTCGCCGCCCAGTCGATAGCCAACATTGTCAAGTCGTCGCTGGGCCCCGTCGGCCTCGACAAGATGCTCGTCGACGACATCGGCGACGTCACCATCACAAACGACGGCGCAACCATCCTCAAGCTCCTCGAGGTCGACCAGCCCGCCGGCCGCATCCTCGTCGAGCTCGCCCAGCAGCAGGACAAGGAGGTCGGCGACGGCACCACATCGGTCGTCATCATCGCCGCAGAGCTCCTCCGCAGGGCAAACGAGCTCGTCCGCAACAAGATCCACCCCACCACCATCATCACCGGCTACCGCCTCGCCTGCAGGGAGGCGTGCAAGTACATGCAGGACCAGCTCTCGGCCAAGGTCGACGCCCTCGGCAAGGAGAGCCTGATCAACGTCGCAAAGACGAGCATGTCGAGCAAGGTCCTCGGCAGCGACGACGACTTCTTTGCCCAGCTCGCCGTCGACGCCATGCTCGCTGTCAAGACCATCAACGCCCGCGGAGAGACAAAGTACCCGGTCAAGGCCGTCAACATCCTAAAGGCCCACGGCAAGTCGGCCACCGAGTCTATGTTTGTCAACGGATACGCCCTCAACTGCACCGTCGCGTCCCAGGCCATGAAGACGCGCATCCGCAACGCCAAGATCGCCCTGCTCGACATCAATCTGGTCAAGCAGCGCATGCACATGGGCGTCCACATCACCATCGACGACCCGGAGCAGCTGGAAAAGATCCGGGCGCGCGAGAGCGAGATTGTGCTGGAGCGGGTGCGCAAGATTCTGGCGACGGGCGCCAACGTCGTCCTGACGACCAAGGGCATCGACGACCTCTGCCTCAAGGAGTTTGTCGAGGCGGGCGCCATAGCGGTGCGGAGGTGCCGGAAGGAGGACCTGCTGCGGATCGCCAAGGCGACGGGCGGGCAGCTGGTCAGCAGCCTCAGCAACCTCGAGGGCGAGGAGACGTACGAGGCCAGCAGCCTCGGCTCGGCCGACGAGGTGGCCCAGGAGCGCATCTCGGACGACGAGCTGATCCTCGTCCGCGGCACCAAGACGGTCAGCTCGAGCTCCGTCATCCTGCGCGGCGCCAACGACTACCTGCTCGACGAGATGCACCGCGCGCTCCACGACAGCCTCTGCGCCATCAAGCGCACGCTCGAGAGCGGGTCGGTGGTGCCCGGCGGCGGCGCCGTCGAGTCGGCGCTGAGCATCTACCTGGAAAACTTTGCCACGACGCTGGGCAGCCGCGAGCAGCTGGCCATTGCCGAGTTTGCCCAGGCGCTCCTTGTCATCCCCAAGACGCTCGCCGTCAACGCGGCCAAGGACAGCACCGACCTGGTGGCCAAGCTGCGCGCCTACCACAACGCGGCGCAGAACGCCAGCGCCGGGGACCCCAAAAAGGCGTTGCGCTTCTACGGCCTCGACCTGCTCAACGGGCAGGTGCGCGACAACCTCAAGGCCGGCGTGCTGGAGCCCACCATGAGCAAGGTCAAGAGCTTCAAGAGCGCCCTCGAGGCCGCCACCAGCCTGCTCCGCATCGACGACGCCATCACGATCGCACCCGAGCAGCCGGCAGAGGACCCGCACGCGCACATGTGAGGTGAGGTGATGAGGGGATAGCCCAGTAGGGGAAAGAGAAAAAGGCCGAGAGCCATCCATCCATCCAAGCCACCGCCGCCATCGCCGAAGCGTCTTATCGTCGTTTGTGTGAGATGCACGATAGCTTGGCCTGGTTGGGCCCGGCCGAGCGAGGCCCTCGGAGTCGTGTTTTATCTGCAACGCTCGCCCATCGCAGCCGTGTATTGTACCACCAGAGCATCCCGAGCAGCATCGACTCGGCTCGACTCGACTCGACCGGACCTGACCCGTGTCGAGGGTTGCCACCCGGTTCTGAATGTTGTGTCGTGATTTGATTACGAGACGGGACGGGATGGAGAGCCGAGGCGGTACTGGTACAGAGGGAGATTGAGTGGAGGGCATTGCTTGTCTTGTCAAGATCGATGGAGGGGCACTGAGCCTGGCGGGATGGCGCAAGGTGTCGCTCGTCGGACGTGAGCGTTTTCGGTCAGTGAGGCGAGGATGGGAATCGAGGTGGGAAGCGCAGCGGAGCGGGTGCTGGATCACTTCTGCTCGTCGGATAGCTCGCGGAGGTAGAGGACGTTGTTGCACCTGCGCAAGGAGGGGTGGGGTGGGGCGGAGGAGGAAGCAGAGGAAGGAGACGAGGTAAGTCTCACCAGAGCGGCACCGAGCGACTGCAAACGCGCAAGATTGCACCGCACCGCACGGCAGACTAACCGGATGAAGACCTCTCCGAGCATGCCGTTGGATTTCCCATCCTGCAGCTCCTCGGTGTTGGCCAGCTGGTCGAGGCGGAGAAGAGGGGGGACGGGAGGTGCGTGTGTCAGCGAAAGCGCAGCGCGGCGCGGACCAGCGCGTGCAAGAAGGACGACGAACGAGGGACCGCGCTTGGGCGAGGATACACACCTGGAGGTTCATGTAGTTGTCGGTGCTGACGAGGAAGCCCTTGTACTCCATCCCCCACTTTAGGCGTACCAGGACGGGCTTGCCCGTCTGCTGCTGCAGAAAGGGCTTCGGGTTGACGGGCTGGAACTGTCGAAGCGGCGCGGTCGAAATCATAGAGGGAGACGTCAGCATGGTGCTCGAGAGGGCAGCTTGACTGGCCGGCTAGGACGCTCTACTCACGCTTGACATGGCCGTCGGATGAATGAGGAAGGGAGGATGGGGCCGAGGTGAAGATGGTCGTGGTGGTGGTGGCGAGCGGGCGTGGTTGCCAACAGGGCTGCGGTCCAAAGTGGAGATGGGATGTCCTACGACGGCGCCCTGCGAGGAAATTGCACTGCGCCGGGCGTTGCGAGTGTCTGTCGTGCGAGTAGACGCCCAGCCGGGGCAAGTCAGGAGTGTTGGGTTGGCGGGTGGCGGGTGGCCCGTGAGGCAGCGCAGCGTGGCTTGGACCCTGAAGCCTTTGTCCTGGCCGCCCTCAGGAAGCTTAGAGCCAGCCCCACACCGCCTTTTCAGCCACCACCTCCTCCCTAGCCAGCTGGCTCGTCAGCACTGCCGGCCATCTCAAAGCCACCCCTTTCTGGCCCCCCTCCCCATAAACGCTTGCGATACAGATCCACGACGCCCGTCCTCTCGCCAGCTGTCTCGTCGCATCGGGTCCCAACAAGGCAGCTCCCTCTCTCCTCCCCTTTTCCAACACGAGCCGCGGCCTCGACGATACCGTACCTCGACAGACATGGTCGGCGGTGGCGGTGGCGGACCATCGTCCGCGGGTGCAGCGGGGACTCCTCACCAAAAGCTGGTCGGGCACGCCTACGTCCGAGCCCCTCCGGCGCTGCAGCTGCCCCTCCTCTCGCTCGGCACGCTGGGCGCGCAGGCGGTCTGGTCGATCGACATGGCCTTTGCGCCGCCGTACCTCCTCGAGCTCGGCCTGTCGAAATCCGCAATGGCCGCCGTCTTTGTCGCGGGCCCGCTCAGCGGCCTCGTCGTGCAGCCCCTCATCGGCGCCCTCGCCGACAACAGCACCTCGCGCCACGGCCGCAGGCGGCCGCTCCTCGTCGTCGGCGCCGTCGTGTGCTCGGCCGCCGTGCTCCTCCTCAGCTTTGCGCGCGAGGTCGCCTCCATCTTTGCCACGTCCGGCGCCGACGCCCACTCGTTCCTCGCGATATGCATCGCCATCGTCGCCGTCTATGTCATTGACTTTTCCGTCAATGCAGGTGAGCAACGCACGACCCGCTGCGCAAGATGCGCGATGGACCTCGGTGTCGCGGCGGATCGCGCGGCTTGCTGATTTCCGTCTACCGAGCTCGTTACTGATTCCCCTCCTCGCTCCGGCTTGTCTGCACCGACTGCGCAGTCACCGCCCTCAACCGCGCGCTCATGGTCGACGTGGCAAGCATAGAGGACCAAGCGGCCGCCAACGCCTGGGCGGCGCGCCTGTCGGGCACGGGCAGCGTGCTGAGCTTCTGCATCGGCAACCTCGACCTGCCGGGCACGTTTCCGCGCGCGTTTGGCACGACCCAGATCCAGATCCTCTCGGTCCTCACCTGCCTCGTCGTGCTGGCCACCCACGCCGTCGTCGTGCTGCGCGTCCACGAGCAGGTCCTCGTACGCTCCACCCCCTCTTCCCCGCACCGCCAGCGTCGGACGCCCGCCCTTGGCCTCGCCCACCTCTTCCGCGACCTCGTCGCCCAGGCAAAGAACCTGCCCGCTCCCATTCTCGAAATCTTCAAGATCCAATGTGAGTCTGTCGGTCGACGGCACCGCCGGTCGCTGCATCCGCATGTCCCTCCGTCCGCTCCCAGCAGACACTGACACCGATCCCTTCTCTTCGACGCCGCAACAAAAGTCTTTGCCTGGATCGGGTGGTTCCGTGAGTGCCAGGGTGCACACGCACTCATTCTCACACACGCGCTGTCGTCATCCGAGCTCACATGGCCCACTTGATTCCACTTCACAGCCATCCTCTTCTACACGACCGTCTGGATCGGCGACATCTACCGAGCCGGACAGCCCGGCGGTGGTCCGCAGGGCACCTCGCCGGCCTCGGCGCCGGGCGGCGACGCCCTCTTCGACGAGGCGACGCGCGTGGGCAGCCTGGCCATGTTCTGGCACGCCGTCGTCGCGCTGGCGGCGTCGATCGTGCTCCCGATTGTCGTGCCGAGCCCGCTGGGCGACGCGTCTGCCTCGACGGCCGCCACGCCGGGCTTTCTGCGCGGCCTCGAGCGCCTCCGCTCGAGGTGCCCCGACCTCACCTTCTGGTGGGTCTTTTCCCACTTTGTCTTTTGCGCCGCCATGATGGGCACCTACATTGCCTCGCTGGCCCAGAGCGTCTTTTTCGCCTCGCTCCTCATCGCCATTGTCGGCTTCTGCTGGTGCGTCACCAACTGGGTGCCCTTTGGACTGGTGAGTGCCGGGCTTTCGGCTTGGCTTGGCCTGGCTGGGCGGGGCTGGGCTGGCGGTCGCCCAAGTGGGCGAGGTGCGGGGCAGTTGGCTGACGACGGTATCCTATGCCCGCCATCGCGATTCGCCCAACACGTAGTTGGGGATCCTCATCCAGCACCACACGCCGGACGCGCACGAGATGCGCCAACGCGATGCCGAACGAGGCGGCACCGACGGCGAAGATGCCCAAGACGACGACGACGAGGATGATGACGGCAACAACGACGACGACGACGACGACGATGTCGAGGCAGTCCTCGTCGCTCACCCGGGGCTGTCGCCACGGAGAGGGGGCAACGGCGGCGGTAGCGGCAGCGGTGGTGGTCCGGCCCAGGACGCGGGCGGGACGTCGGGCCATTCGGGCAGCATCTTGGGCCTGCACAACCTCGCCATCGTGCTGCCGCAATTCGCCGTGACCATGATCTCGTCGGCCAGTGAGTGCACCGCTGGGCCACGGAGGCGCCGCAAACACCAAAAAGAGGACCGACCGGCTGACGTCCCTTGCTTGCTATTCCGCGTCCCGGTTGACTGGCTGGCCGGCGCTTGCTGCTGCTAGTCTTTGCCATCATGGAGCCAAGCCCGGAAGCTGGCGCTGCATCTGGAGCAGCGTCTCCGACGGCTCAGCGACGGGCCGCGGCCGGACCCGCTGCCGTCAGCTCGGCGAGCGGCGATGCGGTGGGCATCGTGTTGCGGCTCGGCGGCCTGTCGGCCCTCGTGGCGGGCGTCCTTGCGGTAAGGTTCGCCCGGCGGTACGGCCACGTGCTGTCCGAATGAGGGTCGGGCGCAGCAGCAATGCCATGGATGTGCTCCCAGTGATCAAGCTTAGATGCTCGTGCGGCGTGCGGTCGCGGTCGATTTGAGCGGCCCAGCAGGGTCAAGCCAGCTCAATGGAGGCCTAGGCGGCGGGCTAGTACGTGTCCATGCTCTCGTCGTCTGGCGGGCGTTGGGACCCATCGTCGTCGTCGTCGTCCATGTTGAACCTGGGCGGTCTGGTATCGCTGGCCCTCGCTCTGTTCTGACCTGCATCCTTGTCGGCTGGAGCGCGGGTGGCTGTTGCGTAGCCAGAATCGCTGATGTTGCTCGGTCGACCTCTGCTGGCGTTGAAGCGCGCCATGGCGGCCGCGCCCGCTGCGGCCGACGCGTCGTGGTCTTGGTCGCGATCGGCAAAGGTGAAGTCGGAGCGCATGCTCTCGTCGTTCCACGCGGTACCGTGCAGCGCGCTGGTCGAGGATTCCGGGTCGGCAGAGTAGGACATGGAAAACGAGCCGCCGCCCTCGTCGTAGTTGTTGTCGTCGCCGTCGCCGTGGCGCCGTGCGGGCTGGGACTGGGAAGGCGACTGCGAGAAGGCGTAGGGATCCGAGGGCGAGGATTCGAATGCGGCCATGGGGAACGAGGCGTCGAACTGGTCCGATGCCGATGCGGCGGGCTGCTGCGCCGATGGAGGCTGGAGCGACTTGAGGTGCTGAAAGGCAGTGGTGAAAAAGGGGCGGAGCTCGGCGATCTCGTGCATCGAGATGCCCGTCATCTGCGCGCAGAGGGGCAGGGGTGGCAGGGAGGGGGAGAGGGGCTGGCGTGAGGATCAGAGGACGCCAACAGGGCGGCCGGACGAAAGGATGGCGCCGACGGTGCGTTTGCGCGCACTGGCGCTGTGCTCACCTCGAGGTGTACGCTGTTGACCATGGCGACACCGGCGAGGACCTTGGACTGCCTGGCCTCGCGGATGTCCTTGAGCAGGCCCCTGACTTTTCCGGCGTCCCTGACGTCGTGGCTGGCGTGTCGGAGTATGGCATTGCTGACGCCGATCCACTCAAAGGGGAGGGGTGCGAAGCCGGGCTGCGACGTCTCGTGGCGCAGGGTCTCGGTGAGTGCGGGCACCGAGAGCCAGTCGGGCGGGATGACGAGGGCCTTTTTCTTGTTGCGGAGGTAGAGGGCGAGCCAGAGGGGTACGGTTGCGGGCTGCGGCGGCTTAAAGGGCCCGTAGATGGCGGTGAGGAGGCGTACGCGGTCGATGGAGAGGAGCGGGATGATGGAGATGGACGTGGTGGACGAGGTGGTGGTGTAGAAGTCGAGTTCCGAGGGGAGGGGACCGCCATGCAGGATGGGCGGCAGTGCCATGGTGCACAGGCCGAGGAAGCGCTGCCTGCGTGTGCGTGTGCGCTCGTATGTGGGCGGGAGGAGGTGGTGGTGAGAGTGCGAGAAGGTGTTGAGGTTGGATTAGATTGGGTTGGGTTGGTCTCTCGCCTCTCGCCAGGCCTGGCCTGCCTGCCTGTGCGCGACGCGTGCTGGATGCCAGACGACTGCAGGCAGAGCCAGGGTCTTCCAGTCTTAGTGTTCGGCCCCGCTGGCTGGTGGATGTGGAGTGGGCAGGGTTGGCGGGGCGGGGCCCACCTTTGGGCCAAGCATCCCCCCCAGTGGCGGTGCAGGGACCACCGAGGTCGACCCCCAGTCGTCAGGCCTGTCCGCCCAGACCTTGGACACCATTCGCCACCTCGGTGGTCCACCAGCCAACACCAATCAATCGACCTACGCCATCTCCCCCCTCTTGCTCCTCGACCTCTGCATACTCCAAGCCAGGCCAGGCCAGCATCGCGCCTCCCATCAAGCAGGCACGCCCTCACCATGGCCCTCCCACTCAGCGGCGCCTTGGGCTCCGTGGCCCACGGTGCCCGCGGCTGGCTCACGGGCCTCGCAGCACGCTACCGCGCCCTCACGCCGCGGCGACGGCTGTACCTGCACCTCCTCATCGTCTTCGAGGCCCTCGTCTTCGCCGCCTTCATCTACATCGGTCCGGACACCATCTTCAACAAGACGGCCTCCATCGCCCTCTGGATCTCGAACCGGCCCTACGGCCTGCCCCTCGTCCTCTCCCTCGTCGTGCTCCTCTCGTTCCCGCCCCTGTTCGGCTACGGCACCGCCATCACCCTCTGCGGACTCGGATGGGGCGTCGCCGCGCCCGAGTCCCCAACCCACCCCGCCATGCACGGCAGCCTGCTGCGCGGATGGGCAGTCGCAACCGCCGGCTGCCTCCTCGGCGCCTCCGTCAGCTTTGTCGTGCTCCGCTGCCTCATCCGCCGAAACGCCCACGTCGCCTTCATCGAACGCGTCCTCGACGATCCAAAGTTCAGGGCCATGAAGGAGGCCGTCCGCCGCAGGGGCACCAGCATGGCCATCCTCATCCGCTTCTGCCCCTTTCCCTTTTGCTGTGCGTGCCCACTGCCTGGCCTCGCTCGGCTTGACCCGCGGCCAGCCAGTCCGGACAGACCATGTTGACTCATCTCACCCCGCCTCGTCGCGTCTTCCTCGTCCCGCCTCTGCGCAACAGACTCGAACCTCTTCTTTGCCGTGAGTGGCGCGGCAGAGACGTCTCTGGCGACACCGCGTCCACTTCCGCCGCTCCTATGCTGACCTGCTGCGCCTCTTCCACTTCCGCCCGCCCGCCCGACCAGTCGCTGGACACGGTGAGCTTCGGCCAATTCATGCTCGCCACGGCCCTCATCACGCCCAAGCTACTGCTCCACGTCTTTATCGGCGCGCGCATGTTTGAGCTCATGGACACCGACGAGCGCGCCAAGCTCGACGGGTGGCACAAGGTGCTCAACGTCGTCTACATCGTCATTGGCACCGTCATCGGCGCTCTGACCGGTTGGTGAGTCGCGTCCAGGCCCTTCTCTTCCCTTTCCTTCCCCGCCAGGCCAGGTCAGGCCAGGCCAGACGGTCGAACAGCAGGCGGCAGCAGCAGGTGGCATCGACATGCTTACCCTGCCGTCCCATCCCCCTTTGCTCCTGTCCGCGCCGTTTCGGGGGGAAAAGGCTGGTATGGAAGGAGACGCAAAAGATCCTCGACCAGATGGCGCGATCCGAGGCGGGAACCGAGGGCGGGCGCGGGCGCGGGCGCGGCCGCGACTTTGTCGTCGAATTCGACCTCGACGGGCCCCACGACGACGACGACGACGACGAGCGCGAGTACGTCGTCGACAGCGAGACACCGCCCATCCAGGACGGCGACGACCAACGGCCCCTCCTCGCGTCGCCGTCGCCATCACCATCGCCGTCGGGACACCCAAGAGGTCGCGGGGGGAGTCCACTCGCCGATGTCAAGGGCGATGGCGGTGCCGATGGTGATGGCGACGGCGATGGCGTGCAGGGGCAAAAGAGGACGATGCAGCCGTTTAAGCTGATCGACGATGATACCGACGACGACGACGACGACGACGACGGTGGCGGTGGTGCATCGCCACGTCGTAGCCCAGGGCGGAATCGAAGATGAGTGCCGTGGCCGTGGCCGTAGCCGTGTTCTCCGGTCGATAGACGACAAGACGGCGATTGCCGCAGCAGACTGCAACGAGATAGACAAAGCATTGGCCCACGTAGGACGTCTCATCCCCGCCTGGCTCCGGTCTCGGGCTCATCGTCGTCTTCCATCGACGTCATCCTCGTCGTCCTCCTCGGTAGTAGCAACGGCCTGGTACGCCGCCGCCGCCCCCGTCGCGGTACCGCCAGCTGCACCGCTGCCCGACGACGACGACGGGCCAAACGAGTGCTGGACGTCGGAGAGACTGACGCCCTTCATATCGGGCAGCCTGGTCCAGGTAAAGTACCAGGATGCGGCGGCGACGAGGGCGTAGAGTGCGAAGCTGCCTGCGGGCGTAATGGCCTTGACGAGGTGGAGGAAGGTGGATGAGATGACGAGGTTCGATGTCCAGTCTGCCAAGTCGATGCGAGATGGTTGGGAGGGGGGGGGGGGGGGGTGTTCGGTCAACAGGCACTACGCACGAAGCACAGCGACGAGGCGAGGAGGGTACTCAACTGGTCGCGCTGGCCAGACCGGCTCCGATACCGCGTACTGGACCGGCAAAGACTTCGCTCTGGATCAACCAGGGCAGGATGCCGAGCCCGACGGCGTAGTTGAGCGTGAACACGATCATGAAGATCAGAGAGAGGTACGCCCACGCCCCTGCGCCCGCGCCCGCCGCTCCCTCCGCTGCTGTTTCTGTGGAGGCGGCGACGGTTGCGGAAGGCGTGCCAGAGGTGGGACCGACGTCGACCATGCTCAGACTGAAGCTGAGCAGCGCCAGGGACAGCGTCGTGCCGAACGTGGCCCACAGGAGCAGCTTGCGCCGGCCGATGCGGTCGACGAAGCGCATCCCCAAGGCCGTTCCGATGCAGTTGGATACGGCGATGCCGATCGCCGCCGCATTCGGGTTCGAGGTGAAGCCCGCCATGAGCAGTAGCCGCCCGCTGAAGTACATTAGCTGGTCGGTGCCGAGGCGGGACGCAGCGAGACATGGTCAGCCCAACCGTCGATCCCTACAGCTATTGCCCCGCCGCCGCTGCGTAGATCGACGACCTAATCCACTCACCGAGTTGAAGCCGACCATCTTGCATCGCAGCAGCGCGGAGGGGATCAGCACAGAAGGCAACGGGGATCAGCGCCAGACTCCACTCGCTACCACGCAGCCCTAGCCACGGCCGGGTCGACGGCGCTCGGCTCACCTGCTGGAAAAACTGCAGGCCGCACGCGAGAATGAGGGCCTTGCGGTTGTTTGGCTCGTTCCAAAGCAGCTTGAGCTTGCCCTTGGCCTCCTTGACCTTGGGCGCCGCCGTCGACAGAATCTGCGGCGCGACGCTCGAGATGCGCGTCATCGAGCCGCGACCCTCGACATCCTCACCGCCGCCGCCGCCGCCGCCGCTGCCGTTGCCGTTGCGCTCGTCGGGATCCTCGGGGACCTGGCTCGTTGTCCCGCGCATGCTCCGCTCGATCCTCTCGATCTCCATGTCGACCTCGCGATTGGTGGCGGTAGGGTAGATTCGCTGCAGCACGCGCCGCGCCGAGACGATCCTGCCGCGCGCCACGAGCCACCGGGGTGACTCGTCGAGGTAGAAGAGTCCAACCATCTGCAAGATGGCGGGCGCGCCTCCGATGAGGACCATCCAGCGCCAGCCCATGGTGACGTTGTAGAGGGCCGCGTCGATCGTGTAGGCCACCACCTGGCCGAAGGTGATGAGGACGCTGTTGAAGCCCACGATGCGGCCGCGCACCGACGTCGGCGCCACCTCGGCGAGGTAGGTGGGCACCACCATGCTCGCCATGCCGACGCCTAGACCCACCAGCACACGGCCCAGCACCAGCTCGCGCACGACTTGCGAGGCGGCCTGCTCGAGCGAGCCCAGGAGGAAGAGGACCGCCGATGCGATCATGACCTGGCGCAGCACGGGAAGGCAAGTGGGGAGACGGGGATCGATATCGTCGTCGTCGCCGTTCTCGATGTCAGCTTGCGAGGCATCGATCATCCATTTTTCCGAGGCACTGCACAGACTACCCACCTTCTTCCTCCCCGCCCAGTCGGACATACGGCCCGCGACGACAGCGCCGACGATGGCACCGACAGTGGTGGCGCTAACGATGAGCTCCTGTTCCCCCTCGGACAGCTCGTGTCCCAGGTCACCGCGGATGGCGACGAGCATGCCGCTGGCGATGCCCGTGTCCCATCCAAACTGGAGGCCGCCAAGGCACGCGACGGCCACCAGCCGAGTGAGGTACGAGGCCGAGCTCGGATGGTTCTCATCCAGCCCTGCACCAGATATCAGCCCTTCGTCTTCCGTGGCGTCCCCGTCGTTGTCATCAAGGTCGTTCCTCGACGCCGCCATGCTGCTGTACGCGCGCCGAGAGTCGGGTCCAGCCCGGTCGCGATTCAGCCGAGCATCTCGGGCAGTGGCATCGTCGTTGTCGGTACCAACCATGCCGCTGCCACGCCGCGGCCACGTCTTGGACTGCTGCCCCGCTTGACCTTGATACGTATCTGGATAATCTCGCCGCCCCGGGTCGTCTTGCGCAAACGCCCCGTCGCCGAGGGGATCTTCGGAAGCGGGCGTGGCAAAGTCGTCTAGCTCTATGCTCGACGCGGTGGGCGAGGTGATGGTGAACGACGGTAGAGGGCCCGGAGTGGCTTGACGGCCCGTTGACGACGTTATGGTGGCGGGCTGGCGGTCGCGCGGCCGCTAGGCGTATCGGTGCGGCTGGGGTGCGTCGGTGCGGCTGAGGTGTATTTGCGGTCCGAAGCACGGCGGCGAGAGGGTGTGGTACGAAGATCGAGCGCAGGCGGTATGGTGCAGTGTGGTGCCGGTGAGTGTCAAACTCAGCGAGAGAACATAGGTAGTAGCAGCCGGGCTAGTTGGAGGTAGGGAGAGCGAGGAGTGGGGTGAATGTGGTGGGGTGTGAGACGGTGAGGTGGGGAGGCCATGACAAGAGCAGATCGACGAGTGCGGGGCAACAGGTGGACCGTGCAGCCAGGCCAGACCCTAGCCTGGCCTCTTGACAGCTGCCTAGCTGACGGGCCCAGGTGCGCCCTCTGCATCCCGGTCCGGCGATACCGCCCGGCCTCCCCATGCCTTGCAGCACTGCACACACCCTCACCCGCACCCGCACCCGCACCATCACCGACAGGAGCGTCACCAGCGTCGCTCTGCCCTTCTAGCCAAACAGCCCACACTCTCGTCTCATCAGGCGACAGGCACGCATCGCTCGTGAAAGGAGAAAGCAAGACACTTGACAATCAATCAATCAAGACATCAAGGAGCGTAGATACATCGACGACCAGGGGCCCAGGTGGCGGCCAAGGCAGACGCAGCCTGGCTCGATCGGCTCGACGGGCTTGCGCTCGCTCGCCGTCTAGTACTGTCGCTTGAACGGAGGCACGGGCTTGCACTCGGCCTCGTCGAGCGTCGTGTTGACGACGTTGCGGTAGTCGAGCTTGACCTTGTCGTTCTGGCCCTGCTGCCACGACAGCGTGTGCTTCATCCAGGTCTCGTCGTCGCTGCAGGGATCGGCAAGCGAAGCGGGCAAAAGGGAGAGCGATACACAACGTGTCAGCAAGAGCCAACTCAGGGCAAGCTGCGGAGCGGGGATGGCGGGACTAGCAGGACGCCGTCGCAAAGCAAGGAAACTCACCGGTCGGGGAAGTCCTCGCGGGCGTGTGCGCCTCGCGACTCCTTTCGCGCGGCGGCCGAGTGCATCGTCTGGGTGGCGCAGGTGAGGAGGTTCTTGAGCTCGAGCGTCTCGACCAGGTCCGAGTTCCAGATCATGGAGCGGTCCTGGATGCTGACGTCGGGGTAGCTGTCAAACACCTTGTCGATCTTTTCGACACCCTCGTCGAGCGTCTTCTGGGTGCGGAAGACGGCGGCGTCGCTCTGCATGACGCGCTGCATCTCGTTGCGGATCTGAGCCGTGGGCTTGGAGCCGTTGGCGTTGCGCGCCCAGTCGAGGTCGTTGATCGACTTGGCACCCGCGTCGCCCTTGAGCTCCTTATGCGGCTTGCCAGGAGACAGGTTCTCCTTGATGTGGTTGGCGCACGCGCGGCCAAAGACGACAATGTCGAGCAGCGAGTTGGCGCCGAGGCGGTTGGCGCCGTGCACCGACACGCACGCCGTCTCACCGGCGGCGTAGAGGCCGGGCACCACCTTGTCCTCGCCGTTGGGGCCCTTGGTGATGACCTCGCCCGTGTACTTGGTGGGGATGCCGCCCATGTTGTAGTGCACCGTGGGCAGGACGGGGATGGGCTCCTTGGTGACGTCGACGCCGGCAAAGATGGCGGCCGTCTCCGAGATGCCGGGCAGGCGCTCGTGGAGGACCTCCGGGGGCAGGTGCGAGAGCTGCAGGTAGACGTGGTCCTTCTCGGGGCCGACGCCGCGGCCCTCGCGGATCTCGATGGTCATCGAGCGCGAGACGACGTCGCGCGAGGCGAGATCCTTGGCGGTGGGCGCATACCTCTCCATGAAGCGCTCGCCCTCCGAGTTGAGCAGGTATCCGCCCTCGCCGCGGGAGCCCTCGGTGATGAGGCATCCGGCGCCGTAGATGCCGGTGGGGTGGAACTGGACAAACTCGAGGTCCTGGAGCGGCAGGCCGGCGCGCGAGACCATGGCCATGCCGTCGCCGGTGCAGGTGTGGGCGCTGGTGGCCGAGAAGTAGGCCTTGCCGTATCCGCCCGTGGCGAGGACGGTCTTGTGCGAGCGGAAACGGTGGATGGTGCCGTCCTCCATGTTGAGGGCCATGACGCCGACGCACTCGCCGTCCTCCATGATCAGGTCGAGGGCAAAGTACTCGATGAAGAAGTTGGTGTTGTGGCGAAGCGACTGGCCGTAGAGGGTGTGAAGCATGGCGTGGCCAGTGCGGTCGGCGGCGGCGGCGCAGCGGTAGGCCTGGCCGCCCTTGCCGTAGTTGAGCGACTGTCCGCCAAAGGCACGCTGGTAGATCTTGCCGTCCTTGGTTCGCGAGAAGGGCAGGCCGAAGTGCTCGAGCTCAATGACGGTGCGGGGCGCCTCGCGGCACATGTAGTGGATGGCATCCTGGTCGCCGAGCCAGTCGGATCCCTTGACGGTGTCGTACATGTGCCACCTCCAGTCGTCCTCGGTCACTGCGCGGGGGCGAGGAGCAGAAGCGAAGGACCAAAAAAGTCAGCACATATTGCTACGGGCCCGCGCAATCGTAGGGTGCCGTCACTCACTGTTTCCGAGAGCAGCGTTGATACCGCCCTGGGCAGCGACGGTGTGGGACCGGGTGGGGAAGAGCTTGGTGATGCAGGCAGTGTTGAGGCCGGCCTCGGCGAGACCGAAGGCGGCACGCAGACCGGATCCACCGGCACCGACAACGACGGCGTCGTACCTGGAGAGGGAGACATGCAGAGAAAGCGAGCAGAGAGAGAGGAGCAACAGGCGGTGTCAGCGCCCAAGAACCGGAAGGCAACGAGCGCCGGCGAGTGTGCACGAGTGCTGCTGCTGCGTGCGCTGCGCCGAGACTCACTCGTGGTCGATGACGGGGTAGCCCTTTGCGGCGTCTGCGATCGAGGGTGCCTCCTTTGCGCGGAGGGGCTGCGATGCAATGATCCTAGATGCGGCGGCGGTCGAGTGGAAGCCGGCCGACCTGTGAGCGACGAGGCTCGAGGTGGGGTTGCGCGCCACGGCGCGCGAGAGCGTCCTGGCAAAGACCATGGTAGCGGGTGGTTGTGGTAGACGACAAGGATGTGGCCTCCTTTTGGGGCGGGGCGTGTTGGGTGGGTGCGCTAGAGCTGGCTAAATCGAAGTGCGCTGGTATCGATGCGAGGTTGGTTGGATGGGGAGGCACTGCGGTTGTATCCTCTCGTGTGGTCAGTGGTGGAACGACGACAAGAGGGAGGTATGATGGGATGATGGTGACACGGAGTCAACAAGCGGAGTGGCGGCGTGGAGGTAAAGAGGAGAGGATAAGGAGCGCCGGGGGATAGGATTGCCACGGCGGCAGAGGGACGCTTACGGTGCCGACGTCGACGGCCGCCGAGCGAGCGACCAACCTTACGGAACCCACCCGCCTGGCTGCCTGCCCGCCTGGCTGCTTGCTCGCTCGCCTGCTCGCTCGGTCGGCCTCTCGTTCTCCCTTGACGACGGCCACCGGACGGACAAGCGCGAGCGGGCGGCTCTCTGCGGGGCAAGCCAGCGCCAGCCCACCAGTCCAGCGCAGCCAACCAACGCAGCGCAGCCAGCTCGAGGCGGGAAAAAAGGGCGCGCCCTGGCTGGCTGGCTGGCTGGCCTGGCTGGCAGCGGGCAGGCTTACATGAAGGGCAGCCCACAGCCTCGAGGTCGGCCTTGAGCGGCCGTGGGCTGCACCTCCAACTTTCAGCCGGGCGGGCGGGCGCGCTTAGAAATCCGGCTGCTCTCCGACGCCCTCCGCCCCATTTTGGCTGCTTATCCAAGCCAGCACCCCCGGCCGACCGGTGCATCCCGGGCGCACCCGCTCCAGCCTCCCGGACTGCTGATGTCATCCTGACATGGCCAGACCAGGCCAGTCGGGTCGGCTGGCTCGGAAGTCGGAAGACGAGCAGAAGCAGTTCAGGGTCGGGTTGCGTTCTTCTCCACTTTGCTGGGACGCTGCCCGGCCCACCACCACCTCCTTCGACCCGCCTCCTTTCGCAGCGACTATCGACGACGACCATGGCCCTGGTGACCGTCTCGGGCCTCCCCTCTTCGGGACGCACAACTCGCTCCCAACAGCTCAAGCACGACTTCGAGGTCCGGATACGCGTCGCCGCCGCCGCCGCCTCGTCGTCATCGTCGCCGCCGCCGCCGCAGCAGCAGCAGCAGCAGCCGCCTCTGCCCAGCCGCGTCGTCATCGTCTCGGACGACGATGTCCACGTCGCCCGCTCCGCCTATGCCTGTACGTTTCCTTCACGCGCCCGCTGCTTGCAACGAGCATGGCTTCTCGTCGCAGTCTGACAACCTCTCCGCCCTGCCTGCCTGCCTGCTTGCCCCGCACCACCGACACCCCGGCAGCCCAACGCACCGAGAAGCCCGCCAGGGCCTCCTACCTCTCAGCCGTGACGCGCGCGCTGGGCAAGGACACCATCGTCATTGCCGACGGCGGCGCGGGGCTCAACATCAAGGGGTTCAGGTACCAGCTCTGGTGCGCCGCAAGAGAGGTGGGCGTCAAATGCCTCACGGTGCGTCCACGTCCGTCCTGCCTGTCTCTTTTCTCTCTGTGGCCATTCACACGACTCCGGACCCGTCCTTCTCACCTCGGCTTTGTCGCTCCCCTCCCTCGCCCCTCTGCTTCGTCGCTTCCCTCTCTCACACCCCTGCCTCTGCTTCAGGTCCACGTCCACGCGCCGCCCGCGCTCTGCACCCACTGGAATGCCAAGCGACGCGCGCAGCACGGCGACGCGGCCAGCTACGACGACGAGACCCTCGACTCGCTCTTTATGCGCTACGAGGAGCCCAACCCCATGACGCGCTGGGACTCTCCCCTCTTTCTCGTCTCCTCGTCCCTCTCCGTCGCCGCTGCTGCACCAGGCCAAGGTGAAGAGGCCATCGTCGACGACGAGGCGCAGCAGGTGCAGTGCGACCCTCTGCCGCTCGACGACATCTGGGCAGCAGCGACGGTGGGGTCGGCGCACAAGGCGCCCGAGGTCGTGACGCCCACGCGCTCCACGACATCCTCGTACCTCTCCCTCCTCGAATCCGCCACACAGCACATCCTCTCCCTCATCCTCACCCACACCTCCACACTCGGCTTCCAACCGGGCGCCACTATCCCGCTCAGCAGCCCCTCCCTCGTCGGTCCGCACCCGCTCGCCCTCACCATCCCGTCGCACAAGATGCCCACCCTCGCTTCGCTCCAGCGCCTCCGAAGGCACTTTGTAAAGATCCACAACGCCGGTAGTGCAGCCGTCAACCAGCTCGGCCTCGCTGCCAGGGACGAAGGCGGTTACGTCGCCCTCTCGGCCACGGCATCGACCTCGGCCCCCAGCAAGGGGGTTCCCCAGCCGTCGCCAGAGTATCTCGTCGCGCGCCGCTTTGTCGCCTGGCTCGAGGAGACCATGTGATTGTCATCGTTCGAAGTCCCGCTCCCCTCCTGTACTTGTAGCCGTCGTCCCGTCTTTGCGGCCATCTGTGATTCCCGTCCCTCGCAATGCATCAGTCAACGGGCCACCTCGGGCAGGCAGCCAGGCAAGCAGGCATGCACACAAGCGAAGGAAGCGTCATCCGGGGTGATCCACTTTGGGAAATGCGTGGGATGGCAGAGCACGCCTTGATACTGCACGATGCGTACCTGGATGACGTCCGGCCTACACGACCGAGTACCGCCCGGGAGCGTTGCCAGGGTTCCTCGCCTCGGCCTGCAGAACGGGGCAAAGGGCGAACAGCAGCGTGCGCGCGGGCGGGGGCAGGGGCGGGGGAGAAGGACGACCGGATACGCGGTGAAACGTCAGCGATTGGTCGTCGCAGGCTGCCGCACCGTCGCGCGGCACGGTCCGGGTCGCCGCCACTCACCTCCATGGCGGCCTGGGTCGCCTCGACCAGCAGCCGCTGGATCTCGAGCACGGCGCGCTCCACCATCTCCTGGTTGTTGCTCTCGATGAGCAGCTGCAGCTTGGGCGGGTCGCCCGGCTGCGGCTCGGTGCCCTCCTTGTAAAACACGCCCTTGTTGGTGATCGACGCCCCCGTCGACTCGATCAGGTGCACCATCGTCTCCTTGTTGGTCACGCGCCACCGCGCCCGCTGCGGGAAGTCGTTGATCGGCACAATGGCGTGGTAGTCGGTGGCGTCCGGATCCTTTGGCTTGCGCTCGCGCTGCTGCTGCGCCGCATCGGCCGCGGCGGCTCGAGCCGCCTCCTTGCGCGCCTGCGCCT